CTAGGCTTTTCGTTTTAGATGCGTTCACACGCATGCCGGTCACGTCGCACTCGGCTGCGAACCTTTCTATCTTCTGTCTATTAACATTTAAAATTTTTAAATTTATGTTTACATTTTCTAATGATTTTTAGTCAGGTATCAAGTGGGTAGAGTGAGAAGCACGACATTTTTTCTAGCACACGTTGGCATGACCAAACCAAAACACCATCGTATTATATCTCTAATATTCACAAGTCAATCATCTGCTATTTTCATTCATCTTTATCCGGCAATCTTCTTCAACTCCCCCTGCCATCGAACTGTAGGTCGTCCTATGAGTCATCTTTCTTAGAACCCAGTCTAGTGTCTTTGTGGTTCAGCGACTGTCGGCTCAGTTATCCTTCCTACTCTCGCAGCCCATTGCAACTTTAACTCCTTTTACTTAAGCAACTACACAGAATTTATGTTTGTACTCTTACGGATTTAACGGCCTTCCGATGTTTTCGTTTTTCCCAACATATCATCTTTCCATGCCGCGTTGCGTAGTCTGCAGTTTATGAATTATTCTTTCATTCTCAGGATCTACGTCTCGTACCCAAAGACTGAAATTGGGAACAGACTACGATCGTTCAAAGCACAACGGATGTTTTCTGAACAGATACGATCTGAATCTTACAAAAATGCTCCATGGCATTTTCACTTTTCTGTGGTACAAATAAAGGATTTGACCTCTACTGATTTTGCATCTGCATAAATAATTGCATTCATAATTCATTTCATGATTCATCCATAACATACTGCATTTATATTCCATAGCTTTATTCATAATCCGAAAAATCTTCGTAACCATTCCTTCAATTTGCTTCTTGTCCTGATCAACCTAGTGAACCCTTCATTATTTCGGAACTCTGTGGATACTCCGCCTCCCCAATTCTTTTGAATTATCCCTAAGTTCAACGATATATCGAAGATTCTACATTTTTGTCTGCATATTTAAGTTTATTCTGTAGCTTAGAATCACAATGAAACTTATATCATCCTTATGGGTCATCGTCAGTCCTCATACCTTAATCACAACCGATGCTAATTCGTTTTAAACCGAAGATAAATTTAAACGAAAATATTTCCTTGCTTTTCAAGCTGAGCCATGAAACCGAAAGATATATCAGCTTCAACTCATTCAGGACACTCTACTGGTATGACCCTGAGTTGTACCAGCAGAAGATCGAAATTGGTTAATCGAAATACTGTTATTCGTAACAACAGTTATCTAATGCGTTGTTGAAAGCCATAATGGAGTTTCCCTCATTGATGTGTGTTTAAGAAATAAATTAAGAGACTGTCTCAGCGACTAATATAATGCAAAGTGAATCTAACACTATAAGGGCTCAAGGATGCTGAGGGTTCATCCTGCTCAAGTCGTTCTCAGCAAGATGGAATTTGGTGAAATCTAGTTCTGGAGGAGTTGTTACCACTATTCCCCTGCTGTTATTCATCATGCTTTCTATGCGAACAGGCGGACTCGAGCACATACGTTTCAGGATCGAATGTGAGTCACACTCTTGTTCTGTTAGTTCAAAAATTTTATACACGTACTTAATAGATATGCTGCAATATGGAAGTTCATCTTCCTCAAAAACAGTTCATCGTTAACTCCTACTTAATAGCACGAAGTCTTTTGTTCAAGCAAGTGTCATATTAGCACAGGGCAGCCAGTTCTTATCATTCGCTTTGGAAATCGTTTTGTGAGTTACTAAATTAAGGGGGACCCTTCATTAAATCGTCATTGATATCAAGCCATGAAATCTCGATGAATCAAAGGCTGTTTGTTTGTGCTCGTCTTTTCACTGAGCCAGACGACTACCCTTGACTTCTAAAAACAGAGGTTTACGACCGAGTAATAGTTTCGTTCGCGTTTCCGGTGTGCAACCGGAGGCCTCACAGTCAGTGCCTAGCTGTGGTTGTTTCCGACATCGTTTTATGACCAGCCAGAAAACGTTCAGCAGCCGTCTTTCGGCTGTAAATGCGAACAAATGCGTTTTAACGAGCAGACACTCTTTGGTACCGAAGCAAAATCGCATTATTCATTCCCGGCCCTGCACAAA